ACACACACTATTATGATGTCCTAGATGTTCGAATCTGAGACCACTACTTTGCAAGTTAAGGTCTTTTTTTAACTGGACTAAACTGTATTGGCATAATGTGTAATGTTTATAGGTTACATGAATAGTTTAGAGCTTTTATGGTCAAGATGTGCATAATCCTACCCATTTTCTTTGTGAGGGATTTTTCTGATGTATTTAATGAATTTCAAGAACAATCACGTGTTGATCAGGTGATTTCGTATGAAGGCTTGCATAAGCTCAATGGTGATGGAGCTATTGACAATGCCACAAGTTTGACTAGTGGTTTGATAATGGAGTATTTATGGGTGAACATAAAGCAATTGCAGTGTTTTCATTTTAGCTACATAATTGCATGCGATTTATATGCAAATGCTTATTTTCTCTCTCTCCTTACAGAAAATGATTCGTATGAGGCAATCATGATGATTAATTTGGGGGAGACTATTTGGGTTGTTGTGGACAATAGTATGGATGATGTGAAAGATTTGCTTATGCATTTTTCTTTAAAGGAAGTCCAATATCCACCTAGGGATTGTAACACAATGACTCATGTTTCTACTTGTTTTGCTTTACACGAACAAGGTTGTAATTATTAGTTAGAAGAAGGCCCAGAGTAACTAATGAATTGTATTATTGATGACCTCATTGTAACAAATTCTTTCAGTTAATGAAATTTACTTATTTTTCAAATTTTTTATGTAAAAAATTACATGAATAGTTATAATGTGATATAGTAATCACAAGAAACGTTCCATTTTCTCAAAATATGTGATGCTTATAGTAATTGAATTATTAGAGTTATGGCAGATATGAGCTTAGCCAACTTGATTAGAGCAAATATACTCCTCATTCTGCAGTCGAGTTCGAATTCCCCTCCATATAGTCTATATTAAATTAAAATAAAATATCAATTGTATAAGAAAGTTACTGCATATAAATAGAGGTATAAAAAAGTGGGGGGTATTTGAGAAGTTGTGGGAGGTATTATTTATCATATTACCTTTAACTTCTGAGTTTACTTTACTAAAAAATGAAAGAACAAATCACTGACAAAGTCTTGAATTTAAGTCCCCATTATATTTGTGTGTGTAAATTTCTCATTCCCTTCCTACCGTTGGAAGAAAAAAAAAAAGCATAAAAACTAAGAGAGAAGAATGCGAAATGTACAGAACGTTCATAAAATGATTGGCCGAGTTTCCGAACAATTTTCATCTCGTGTGCTTTAGCAATGCAGTTCGGGAATCTACACGTGGCCTGCAATCCCAGTCAGTAATGGGTGGGGATTGCTCTGGCGTTGCTTGTATAATATTTTTGTTGCCGGTCGAAAAAGCTTGCACAATGGTCACACATGCGAATGCGATCCCTACGACATCGTTCAAATCATTTGGTGGAAGACTCGTGGCGGTCCCGCCAACTCATTGCATTATCTGCTCAGTCTTTAGTGCTCCCTCTGGTATTTTTAAGAATGACTCTAGCTTCTGAACACACACACGCCAAAAAAGAAAAGAAAAAAAAGCAGAATGATTCTAGTTTCTCCAACTTCCTACCAAAATTACAATTTTTTTTTCTTCCATTCCTTCATTTCCCAAAGTAAAAAAGGCCGCTGTGCATGACCTATAATCATCAATTAATCTCAGAAGTTGGTGTTACTATTTTTTTCAAATCACAGTTTGATATATGCGTATAAATTTTTTTTTTTTTATGTTCTTAATTAATGCATTGTTTTTGCATATATGTCAAATTGTGATTTACAGGAAATAAAAATGCCTCCTTACAAAGAAAAACGGAAGCAGTGTCCTTAAAACAATATTCAGAACCCAATTACTTATAACAGGGAATGAAGGTTCTCTTAATAATAGGGATGAGCACATCAATGAGCCAATATTATATATATATATATATATCAGAATGTTCCACTGCATATGTATGAAGCCTCGTTTTCATATTAACTTAATGCTAATATTTGGATCTAAAATTTGGAAAGATATGTTAACCAAATGTGAAAGGACTAGTACCACTACAAGAACTGGTTACTGATGATTAGTAAAGAAAGATACAGGCAGGCATGAGAGCAGCAGGCACTACATGCACATGAATAAAATAAACACAGAAAATGATGGTTGAATTAATTAATTGTCACATATACAAGTAAGTAGTCCACAGCACACACGCGTGGGGTGGAGTGGAGGTAAGTGTTTGTTTGTGTCATTATCATATAATAATATTATATGAAGGGATGGGATGTGTGTCGTACAGGGAATAATCAGTTGAGTGGTGTGGGAAGATCACTTTCTTTTAATGTTAACTTTGGTGGAGATGAGATGACCCACTTCCGTTCAAGAAGAAAAACTTATATAAAACAAGGATAATATTGTTTTGTTATACTAATTAAGAACAGTTTGTTATATGAAAAAGTCGACATATCATGATAGATAAAAAATAACAAAATAATATTATCATTGTTTCATGTAAATGTTTCTCCCGGCCAAACCAACAGATTCCGGCCTTAGTAACTCTCACATACATATACTTTTCGTTATCTTTGAACAGATTATATTAATCATTAATATCGTCCAGCCAGCTTTTGAGGTAAATTTAATTATCATATGATGATGATGAGGCAAGGGAATATTATTTGCGAGCATTATAAGACAGAAGGATCGACCGATGTAAAGTAGTTGGATGGATCATGGATGGTCCGTGTGGATTGTCATCACTCTTTCTTCTTTTTAATTTGGGTCTGGTCAGGTCAGTTAGGTGATAATTGTTTATTATGATATATATGGTGTTTCTGCAGATTCATTATATTAATTCAGCTTCGCGTGCTACCTACGTAATTTTATTACCAAATTTTACTGCCTGGTCATTTTTGTGCGTCCCCACCAACAGAACCCAAAACTATTTTTTCAACTGCCTTTTATAAGAAAATGAAAGATCATTCAGCCTGCCCCAATAAAAACAATATAAGAGGATATGATCACGAATCAATCAAGGATGATGCGATATTATGCTCCACCAACAACTATCCCATGATTTAACACATACAACAGTTACATTCGGGCGTGTCAAAATATGTTTTACTCAAATTTGTCCACCCTTGAGAATATACCAAAAAATTATATTAATTACGAGTATACACGTGTCGATATTAATTGCTATAAATTATAAATCTGGGGTAATAATAGACGAGTAAGTCAAAATGGAAATGATTTTTGATAGTTTGCGAACTAAGTTGATTATGATCACATGAGGTTGTCTTAATGATCACATGAGGACGACAGCACTTGTGACTGGTGTTAAAAAGAATCGAAGAAATCTGCTAAAAGTGATTGAGTTGGATACTGGTGTTTTCTTTTAATTTCTTTCGGTGCCCATATTCGTAGTGAGATGAGATTATTAGAAGAGTGGGAAAGTACACAAAACAATGGATACCTTCGCGTAAATGAAAGGAGCTAGCTAGCTAGCTAGATCTGGGCTATTATACCTATACGCAAGTTGAGGATGCTGCATCCATCCATGATCGAAATATATTTATATAATATGTACTCACAAACCCTTTTAGCGCGACACACATTTTACACATACGCATGTGTAGATTCCAAAGCATGTCACTGCCATCAAATTTTAGAGTCCCATCTGTTAACCCCATAAGGAGATGTGGGGTCAGGCACACTCTGTAAACAGTATACTGTCCTTTTCTTTATCTGATCAAACTGGAAAGAGAGTTTGCTTAGAGCCCAAGCAACAGGTCTCAGGGTGATCCAATAGTTTTGTTTGGCTAAGCCCATTGATTGATCTATTATCTGGTTTTTAACGAATCTTAACTTATAGTCAAGTCATTGAGCTCTAAGTGGGGAAATGACTTAGATTAGCTATTTTTAATGCCTTGTATGATTAAGGACTTCAATATTCTACTTTAATTGTGGGTTTGCCCAAGATTGGGAAAGAAGCTTCAAGATCGGGGTAGAAAACCCAAGATTGGGGTAGCTTTCCTAATAGAGAGTTCTAGCGATTTCTTGTTTGATATTGAATCAGATATAAAACGATAAAAGAATAGCTTATAAACTCAAATGCAATCAGAAAACATGGTTTATAACTGAAAATTTCTCAATTCAGTTCAGTACAACAATAATTTAAAGGAAAATAGTTGATAAACTGTTAAATTTACAAACTTATGAAGGGAAAAACAGCTTGGAGGAATCATACCAAGTGTCGGCAAAGCAATAAACTTAAAAGATAACTCATGTGTTGTCAACTGGATATCTTAATTGAAAGGATATTAGTGGAGTTCAACGACATCAATTGTTGATCGAGTGTGAAGTCTGGGAGAAAAGTTGTCTCTTTTGAGAGTCGTGCCCTGCTAGTATATATAGGTTTCTTGGATTTTGAATATGCACGATTGGTGAATGGATGGTTGAAATTGATGTCAATCCGTTCTTTGCAAGTAGATTCATTGAACTTAAGTGCTTTGATCTTTGTGTTGATGGTGAAAATTGCTTAAGCATGGCCTTTCTTCGACAAGTTGGTCCAATAGACGTTTATGGTTCAAATCGCATTTAATGGATTTACCCAAGTATATTCGGTGTATATTATAACCTTACAGATACAGCACGCGCATAGGATTTACCCTCAGTCTCACGTAAGCACGAGCACTATACTAGCATGACATCTTTAACTTTTACTTTGCTTTTTCAATAACACGATTTGCTTATCTTATGCATACAATACAAAGAAGGAAATGTTTTGAACACCTCTCCACTTCCATGAGTAGCCAAATTGAGGTCAAGACAAGGGAATCTATTTGACAGTTGAATCAGAATGGACAGAGGCAACTGCGCATAATATATATATATATATATATTTATTCTTCTAATGGGTTTTGTTCTTTCAAAAGAATTATGTATCACATAAATGTTCTTCAATCAAATTTAAAAAGTAAAAAAGTAAAATTCTTGTGTTCTAAAAGATATCCACTAAACTGCATCTCCTCAACAAGAAATCATATCAAATGCATTAAAAAAAAAGACACAATCTTTTATCTCAACGGGTTTACTGTCGAAATTCCGGAATTAAGAAACTTTACAGCACAACCAATCAAATGTTTTCTCAATCTGAAGATTTTGGCAACGAGTTGGAAGGCCCTGAGAAAATAAGTCCTCTCTGGTGTATCTTATTAATTGTTGCATCTTTGTGGATGAGAGGTTCGGAGGCTCGAGCCACGTGAGGAATAACATCCAGAGCTGCTTGTCTTTCTCTCAAAGACGCCCAAGTCACCACATAAAGACCAGCAATAATTAGTAATCCCCCTAAAACACTGTTGTCACATGTAAAAAGAAGACCAAATAAGCATCACTCCAACAAAATGCTAGCTCGGCCTTGGCCTCGGCAAATATATATATATATATATATATATAACAGTACATCTTTGGCCAACCAACAGAAGGATTTTGTCACACAAGTATTGGGTGTGACCAGAGCATACCTTCCCAAGTAAATAGGGCTTCCAAGGAAAATTCTTGACAAAAAGGCCGAAGCTGCAGGTTGAAGTGGATTGTAAAGAGCAACCAAAGCAGGCCCCAAAATCTTATTGCTCCATGTTAGCAGTCCATAATTAAGGGCAGATGCAACAGTTCCCTGAAAACCAAAGAGTGATATTCACAACTTTTAACAATTCAACCCGCTTTCACATAAGATCTGCTAGAACTCTTAATAGCATAAAGAATTCAAAAGAAATGTTAATAGCAATATTATCAACTGTATGATTCAATAATTGCAAAAAAGTTACAGGCTATTTAACTTGCAAAGCAGAAGATATTATAAGGAGCATCAAAGAGCCAATAGACATGCCATAGAGCTGTCATCAGTTATATGAGGCCTAATATGCAATCAGAGTTAATGAGTGATCAATCAAAAACACACTCACATAATCAGAGTCAACGAGTGGTTAGGTTGCTGATTATCTTCTGTAATTTACATGGCTTGTTGTGTCAGTTTTCACTGCAATGAAACTTAGGGTGGGTGATGCAGCATAACTAGTAGGGGGGCCTCTCTCTGGTTGAGCTAACTGATGCTGAATTTGAGTTACTCAATCATGAAGATGAAAAAAGGGTCTTGTGGGGGTAGAAAGAGGGTCTGAAGCCTTTTTTTTTGGGGTTCCAGTGTAATAATCTGAAATTATCACCCGACCCGCAAACACAGACAATTTACTGGCACCCTCAAATTGGGGTAAATGTTCGAAGCTCCAAATTAAAAACAAGTCAGCAGATTACTTTTACAACTTTTTGTTTCCATTTGGAAATAACTTGGGCTCTCTTTTGTAATGTTTTTGGTTTATGCTATTTTAGTTAAAGATAGAGAAAGAAAAAGGAAAGTTTAGAATAGTTATGCTAGTGAGGGAGAGATGAGAAAATATGTAAATGGTTTATGAAGTAAAGACAAATTTACAACTTTACATAATTGTTTATTTTAAGTTTTAGTTTTATGTATTCTCCATGATTTCTTCCTCACCTTTCTCCTTGTCATCTCCCTTTCCTCCCTTTCCCCTCCATCTTTTTACTAAGAAAATAACCAAACCAAAATGAAAGTTAGTTTGCTTTATGGGATGAAAAATTTGGCAGAGCTTCAAAGTCGAATGCTACAAAAGAAAAAAGTTGACTTTTTATATAGTGTATATTCTTTAAGATATTAAGTTTAAACCCTTTTGATCCACACAGTATTTAGTTCGTCAGCCATTAGAACCCTAGACAGATTAGTTCATCTAAGAAGGTTAGGCTTCTGTTTATTTTAAATCCCAATAGCACAAAATATTTTCTATAAATTAGTAATCCATTCCAAAAGAATACAGCTTTCCATCGGTCTATAGATTCCTTACATACCCAAGGAGATGAGAATGAGGATCATTTCCAGAAGTTTAACAGAATCACGCACTATGATCTGTTGAATATACCGCATGGAATTGTCATCAAAACATATGCTCTCTCTCTCTCTCTCTCTCTCTCTCTCTCTCTCTCTCTCTCTCTCTCTCTCTCTCTCTCTCTCATCTTTAAAATCACTAGCACATCAAAGCACAATCCCATGATTTAAATAGTCACTCAACTTATCTTTGTATACACGAGGAATTATGATTAAAAGTGCTGACAAAATTTCACATGGATAAAACCAGATTCAGCTAAATATATCATTAATTGGAAACTTACAGCGTAAATAACAGCAAAAAGCTCAGACTGTGTCAAGCTCCAGTCTGTTGACTCATTTGTCATAAATAATGCGGTCACCACCATCAAAAGAGCACCGAAGAAGTATGAATATGCTGTGACTGACAAGTTGGCAGGATATCTTTTCAAAAGTGGAGCCTGAAAGTTACCACAGTAATAAATGGAATGTCAAGTTATCAACTGAAAGAAATTGAAAACACATGATATTTATATATTTCCAAGCAGTTGAACAAAAATGTATGCACTAAAGAAAGGAAAAGGTCACTCTACCACCTTGTGTATGTTATTTATTTCATACTGTCCCCCTGTTATGTAAAAACTAAAAGTATCCCTGCCTCCCCACCCCCCTACCCGGATTTATGTATTATGCATTCTATTAAGATTGACAACGCATGTATCTCCCTCAATAGAACAAACCAAAAGTTTATAAACATCAACTTTTGATGATATGGTGACTGGTGGAGAAAACGACAGATTTTATACCTTCAAACATCAGAGTTGCTACAAAATGCATGAGTTGTCATTAATTTGCAATGGAAAATGTTGAACGACCCATACCAGATTAAATCATAGGCTGTAAAGTGAATTTTTGAACCACGGAATGTAACAAAATCCATGAGCGTGTGTTAAAGTGAATTTTCCCCTTCAAAGAATGTAACTAAATAAAACCAAAACAAATACAACCATTTTCAACCGAAATATATATCAGGTCGAACCCCTCTCAGCCCCATAGTATGCACCTAAACATCTAAGTGATAGTCTAGGACATGCAAGATGGTGCAGAACATGATGGAATCATGAAATTCCAACAACAAATCAGCAAATGAGCAGGCATGTCAATGAAGCAAAGAATGCGAACGTAATCAAGTATGATGCTTCCTATCCATAGGAGTGATGCCTATGAAACCATTTGGTGGAGAACTGGTATTTAGTGTTATCCTGTTCATTCTTCAATTGGTGAACCCTAGCAAACAATCAAATTTAACCTTTCCCTTAATTTTTTTCAAACATTAACTTCACAAATTCCCAATTTTTGTAACCCTAACCCTAATTTCCCCAAATCTGATAAGATCGATAAAGATTATTAAAGCATATCTCCACTACATACACATACAGACTGGAATCAGTTTATCTTGAGCAGCCCTCCTACCTTCTTCGTTTCTACTTTTAGATTTCCAATTTCCGAGTACGATGGCTAGGAGGTTAGAGAAATTGATGTGGGATTTCCTTTAGAATGGAGCTATAAGGGAAGAAGGATAATTCATATTTGTAGAAATCAAAAGATAGATGAGGATTATCTATTGGAAACTCATTGAAAGGCCAATGTCTTGCTGGGAAAATAGTTGTGAACAGATGAGTTTGTAATTGGGACATTCTCAAGACTACCCTTGTGAGGGCACAACGCAGAAATGACACAGACAGGAAACGTCTAGCCTGCCATAGTTTGAGCATTGTAAGTGTGTAACTATGAGAGAAGCAGTTTTAGGAACATCTATAATAGTAGTCTAGGCTGTTGAGGATATATACTTGTATCTGAGACAAGTAAGCTAATTAAATAATAATTGTTGTGTACATTTATATGATTCATTTCAGTTAATTACATTCATCTAATACGTATGCGAATTATCGCTCACTATGAATTTCTAGTGCAACAGAAGAAATAAATGCACAGAACACACATTCATCCGTTTGAAGTGCATTTTTGTCCTAATTTTTCTAACATCCCTGTTATTCAATTCATATCAGATTTCCCAGTAAACCAACAATTTAATGAATTTTTTGCTTCTTCACAACTCTGAAATGTTAACAGTATATACACAGATCAGGAGTTAGTAAACAAACAAGTAATAGGTATGCTAACCAATCATACACCTACAAAACAAGGACTTGGAAAGCAGCTTACCTCTACATAAGACAGAAATTCTATGATCAAAAGTAAGAAACCAATTATACTGGCCTAAAAATTTGGGTAAAGCCAAGACTTAATTACACTTTCCAAAAAATTCTTGAAACAGATTATCTAGTTCGAACTCCTTCAACTAGTAGCAAGCTCACATTTTGGCTGAAAGAAAGAAAGTATTTTCCCAGAACAAAAGGGAAACGAAAATAAAAGAAACACAACATTTCTCAGAAGGTTTTCCCACAAAATAAAAGAACGAGGTTATGTACATCATTCCTTCACTAAATTGAAAAATAATAGCACTGAACAAGCTCACCTAGCACTTATTACCTAACCTTGTGTTTGGATGGAGGAATAAACTTAGAATTTGTACATAAGGTAGAGTTTTAAATTGACATGTACTAATTCCCTTGTTTAGGTTCATAAACATAGAAATTTAGAAATTCTATGTGGGAAAAAATGGAATTTGGAGGTCATAAACTCCAACTTCAGATTCCATCTAAATAGGTGTCATTTCTAAATTTCAAGACAGTGAGAGGTTTAGGGTTTATATTTCATAGATGAATCCCACTATACTTTTAGATTACCCAAACTAGAAACTCTGCATATTCTAGAACTTTAAAATCTCATCATTTTAAATTCCAACATTCTGAAATTCTTTAGTATTCTTAAACTTATTCATCCAAAAAACAGGGTAAGTGACTTTGAGGCCAACAAAAGTTTTTTCGGCTAACCTAGGAGCAATGTAAGGGAATGGTCAAATGTGAAAAGCCACTCACCAAGAAATCAACAATCTTGCATTATTTTTCACTTCTAGTCCTAGTCTTCTAGATAGGTATTTGGCATAAGTGGCATGACAGAGGCATCCCCACATTCTAGAGAACTTGGTAATTCAACATAATTGATCAGTCAGGCGATTTTTTTATTTTTATAAATCACACACCTAAAAAGTAAATGAGATAGGTATAGATTCAACAAATCAAGTTAAAGTATAAAGTCATGCACCTGAATGGCTAAAAAAGCGGCCATGCACATACAGTTCCCTAATAAGCATAAAACTCCAAGATGAAAATGATCTAGCCCAAACTCTAGAAAACTAGACATCAACCATCCAGCTGGCTCCGGTTGACCTCTGGCACTTATTTCGCTCTGTGCTGCAAAGTCTGGCTCTATATATCCAATCAAAACAGGTCCTCGGAATAAGACCATTAATATGGCTCCAAAAACACATACAAGTGTACCACCAACCTTTGCCTGCCCTTCAGTTCTAAGCAAGTTCACTCTTTCTGTACTGCATGAACAATTTCACATATGATATTGAACAAGTAATACCTAAACATGCAAAAGTGTGCATCTCTACATGTAGAGAAATATAAACTGACCCCATTAGAACAGCCAGGATAAACGTGAACACTGGGATAGCAGGCTGTATCGCAGCAGCATAAGTTGGATTTGTGTAGCCAAGACCAATAAGAAACAAAAGCTGGTTGCCAAAGATCCTATTTAATATAAGAAAAGCAACAAGAATCAAATGTCAAAGGGATGCTGCATCAATCAGCCCAGTAGATTAGTAATATAAGTAATCACAATATGATTATAAAGGTAGCACTGAAGCATCTAGTCTTACCCACTTAGTCCAAGAAAGAAGAAGGACATGAACAGGCGTCTATTCATTGGTTGTCGAATCCGTCTGCACACAGGAGATGAGAAATGTTACATACTACTGTGTTTGGTGCATTTACAATCCTACATGAAAGCAAACTGCATAATCATGTTCACAATCATGTTCACAAGGATGAAGAAGCTGATATGCCCATGTTCAAATTCAGGACCCATTTGGATATACCCCTCAAAAGTTTAATTGCTCAATGTTATTCAACGGTATGACTTCAAATACAAATGAATCATCATCTATGGAGCTAGTATATAAAGTACATTCATTCTAGCAAATAAAAGGCCACCGTTCATGGGTTGGACCCACCAAAGTAGGATCTTTGGAAGGACGTGTGGGTCTGGTCCTAAAGTTCCACGGTTCTTGCATACTGTATCCATTCTCAAGAATCCAACCCGTGCAGTTGCACTTGACACCTGAGACTTTCACCAGGCCATGAGACAATGGCTCAGAAATATTGTGATGATCTGGTAATAAAACTCCAAGGAAGTGACCATGAATGATGAAAATGGTTCTCAACTTGATTGCATTATTTTCAAGATGATAGATTAAGAGTCTATACAAGAAACAATGCGAACATTCGATACCCAAACATGCCCTTAAACAGCAGGAACAAAAGTCGCAATATCAAGATAAATAAGTCAGAAATCATGGTCTGCGTCTGAGCATACAATACAGAGTTGCTGCTGGATTAAACCCAAGTTCGCAAAGTATGAATGTTGAGAGAGAGAGAGAGAGAGAGAGAGAGAGAGATGACACAAATGAAATTTGGATTACATTAGTTGCAAATGGAATCGAAATTGATGGGTGGCATAAGGTCTAACGAAATAAATATAACAGATAAAAGAGAGCATACTTTTCACGGACATAGGCGATGGGAGCAAGGATGGCAAGAGCAAGGAGGTCCCGGAATACGCAGAATACAAGCTGGTTGATGCCAACATTGAGGGCCACTTTGGTAATTACATGATACCCTCCGTTGAAGAGCTGAACCACAGCCATGGCCGTATGTGCCCTCCAAACGTCACCTCCTCCAACTCCAACAACCCCTGCCCCTGCCCCTGCCATGCCCGCAGCTGCCATCACTCTCTCCCTTTCTTTTCAGATTTCAGATGTCTAAGGGAAGGGGGAGAGAGAGATTTGAAGGAAATGACAGTTTGTTTTGTTGGGTAAAGATACTCAAGATTGGTTGGATTTTGTGTGAGTGAATCAAACTCTATCTGTACGTATGTGGACCGGACAACCCTTTATCCTTAATCTTCAAGACTCCTCACTGTTTGCCGGTTTTGGAGATTCTCTTTCCATACAATAAAAACAACCACAACCACTATTTTGTTATGATTTTATTCGCATCGGCGGCGGCATTTCCCTTCATTTTTTTTAACCTTCAAACCAATCCCTCGTCAAGACGAAGTCACGAACAGCCCTGCCTTCAAATTCCCAATCGGCTTCTTCTTTGTTTTCTGTCTTTTTCTTTTTTTAACCTTTTCTTTATTGCCCTCCTCCTTTTGAAAAGTACAAATTAAAATTACTGTTGCCGGTATAAGATAATTTTTTTTTCCCTTGGAGTTAAAAATTAATTACTGTAAAGTTTAAAAAGGCCTGCAATGCAACATGTCAAAGTTTTTGGTTTTGCGGGTTCTTGTCATGAAATTTGGATCAATTACCACTAATTATGAGATTCTTTGGAGCCTTGCATACCGGGGAAATGAAATGATAGAGGATTGAGGTCCATCTCCATCATAGTATGCATTAAATTTAAGCATGGTCTACCGTTGAATTGTTCGTTTTTGTTTTATTTTAATTTGTTTGGACATGCCTACCCTTATAATATCCGATTATAATTGTTTCTAATTCTTTATAATAAAAAATGCATCAAGCCAACACAAACATTAACCAAAAATCCAGTGATGGGATTGAGCTCTATACGGTACACTTTTTGCCCCTAACTAATTTGTTGACACGTACCCTCCTACTTAACACAAGTTAAATAAGGTCATCCATCGCTTTTAAATAACACCACACGCATATATATAGTCAGTCTTCACATTATCAATTTTCTTTGAGTTTATCTTAGAAGCTGGTTCATCTGTGTTTATGTCCACATCCAATTGAGAGCTCTCTTTTTTTTTTCAATCCTTGCTTCCCAAAAAGCCTCGTACACTCTGCCTCCTCAAGTATGCTCCCTTTTTATTTTTATTATATATATATATATATATATATATCAAAGCTATTATGGAACAGTTCTTTCACTTTTACTGACATTTTTTCTAACTACAAATACTATTGTAGCACTGCTTTTTGACAAAGGGAAAACATTTTGTTCAAAGATGACATACAAGGCTTATTAAGGCCCCGTTTGAGTTTGCTTTTTTTTTTCTTCGCCAAAAACTTGTTTCACTTTAAAGTTAAGCAATTTAAGGTATTTGATAAAAATAAAATATCTCAATTATTTTAAAAGTAGTGGCCTTTTGACAGCTACTTTTAAAAGTAAACTTTGAATTGTTTTTCAAAGTTGATTTCAAAAGAAGCATAGATGAGCCTTTAATGAAAATGTTAATTCCTAAATTATCATCATTCATTTTTAAAAATGACACCACATCCACCTCCACATCCAACTCCACCACCTCTACCACCACCACCACATCCTTCTTTGCCACAACCACCACCTCCTCCTCCACCTCCACTACCACCTCCTCAACCTCCACCACCACCACTCCACTATTGCGCCCACCACCTTCTCCACCTCCACAACCGCCATCTCGACCACCACCACTACCACAACCACCACCTCCACCACCATCGCCGCCACCACCACCACAATAGCCACCTCCTCCTCTACCTCCACCACCACCTTCACCACTACCGCTACTGCTACAACCACATAATTAGCGCATAACACTTTCAACATCATGTCTATTTTAGTTATTATTTACAGTTACAACAATTTTATATTAAGATTTACCAAACGATATTGACACTGCTTTTTGTACTAACTTCACTTTAAAAATATTGTTTACCAAATATGGAGCTGCTTTACTTTACAACTAATTATTTTCAAAACACAACAAAATCAACTTTTTTTTTTAAAGTGAGAGCAGTCTCAAACTAACCCTAAATACATTTTCATAAGTTGGGCTTCAACCCTCCTCCTCTAGTCTCTACCAAAAAACAAAAATCATGAACTTATCGAATGTCGGTGTAAATAAATACGTTACTTCTTTGCAAGACCATACATAAATAAATTTAATAACCAACAAGAAAGAAAGAAAGAAAGAAAGAAAGAAAGAGAGGGAGAGAAACAAAAACAATGGAGCTGACGGGAAGGGCTGCCCATCCACTTTCGCTTGGGCTGCCGCCGGTCCATTTGCAATTCTTGGAGGAGCAATCGCGGCCAAGCAAGCACAAAGTGGTAGGAATAAGGAGCTTGCTTGGATATGGTGGAGGAAAGCGTCTTAATAATCGAACTATTCTTCCTTTCTTCAAGAATAGTGTCATCCCAGCAACTTGTTGTGCAGCGAAGGCAACTACATCTACAGGTGCTGCTGCTGGCGATATGTTGGAAGTGGATTTGAGAGAGATTAAGGACAAGTGCAAAAAGTGGAATTGGAAGGGTAGATACGCCATCAATTACTTTGTTTCTCACTCTTCTTCTGATCCACACTCATCAAATCCAAATCGTCCCCCTATACTTCTTGTTCATGGTTTCGGTGCCTCCATTCCTCATTGGCGCAGGTTTGTCTTTTGTCCAATCTACGCATGCATGCCTTAATGCTTATCCATATCTATATCCATTTTAGCTAGCTAGCCAGCAGCCACACATTTTCCCCCAAAGCCAAAGTTAAAGACAGTAACAATCAAGTCAGGTTATTAATTTCATCTGTTTTTACTACTTACCCCCAAAGTTAATGTGATTGATTGCTATACTTGCTCAGAAATATTAGGACGTTGGCCCAGATTTATACCGTTTATGCTATTGACCTCATTGGGTTTGGTGGCTCAGAGAAGCCAGTAGGCTTTTCATATACCATGGAACAATGGGCTGAGGTAAATGCTCTCCGAGTCTCCGAATCATATTTATTTCATTATAAAATTAAAATCCAATATATTCTTATTTAAATTAAGAAAATATATAATATTATTGTAAACTTAAATACAAGTTTCTGACTCAAGTGTCATTAATTACTGTAAACAGTTAATCTTGGATTTTTTGGATGAAATTGTTCGAGAGCCGACTGTGTTGATAGGGAACTCTGTTGGGAGCCTTGCTTGTGTCATTGCTGCTGCCTCAGCCTCAGGTGCTGAGGCAGAATCTAATAATAAAGCACTCGTTCGAGGGTTGGTGCTTTTAAATTGTGCGGGTGGTATGAACAATAAAGCAATTACTGATGACTGGAGGATCAAGCTTTTCTTACCTTTGCTTTGGTTGATTGATTTTCTGTTGAAGCAACGAGGAATTGCTTCCGCCATTTTTGAGCGTGTCAAACAGAGGTGAGCTATTCAACTATACATATGATATGATTCATTCAGCAGCTATATATAGCCTATACGTATGTACATATATGTACATACATACGTACGTAGTAGTTATAATTAAGCTAGCTAGCTGCTTAGCTAGCACGTCGTGACTCGTGAGTATATATATTTATATCGATCTAGTCTGAGTCTGACCATGTATATATATATATATGACATGCTTGATGCAGAGATAATATAAGGAATATCTTATTGTCTGTCTACGGGAATAAGGAATCTGTTGATGAAGAATTAGTAGAGGTAGAGTATTCTCTCCTCAGTTTAGCATTTCGGTTTCATCAATAATTAAATTACATACATGTCCCGACCTCTTTCTTTCTCCCATTTTCCTTGCAGATAATCATGGAACCCACCTGTGACCCCGGGGCGCTTGATGCTTTTGTTTCTATCGTGACTGGCCCCCCAGGACCAAGCCCGGTGCAGTTGATGCCAACAATAATCTCCTCCTCCCTACCACTTCTAGTTTTATGGGGTGATGAAGACCCCTTCACTCCGCTTGATGGACCTATTGGCAAATACTTCACCTCCCTACCTTCTCAAATACCCTACATCACCCTCTTTGTTTTACAAGGGGTTGGGCATTGTCCCCACGATGACAGGCCTGACTTAGTACACCAGAAACTTCTTCCCTGGCTGGATCACTTTTCTACTGTAACTCACACTTAAACACATAATTAACTACTTGTTGACAATTTAAGAGAGTCCATTGTAGATGCTCTTATAACGAATAAATGACATAACATCTTAATAATTTTTAGGAATGGCAGGTTTATGTGATAAACAACTTTTGCACATTCTTGTCTCACCTTCACATTTGTATGATGTGGGCACGTGTTGGCCCAAAACACCAAAAAAGGCCTAATAACCTAGTGCAACCCCAAGTGTGGAATAGAATTGGCAAAATTCCTTGTTGGGTTAGGTCTCCGGTCCTAATAAATATATAATATAATACAATATAACAATTAAAAAGTTACGTAAGATAGTGAGGCTTTGGACTTTTATTTTATTTTATTATTTTATTAGTTTTGTCAAATTAAATTGAGTAGTTTAGTGAAATTTTATAGTTCAATTGAATGTAATTGAGTTGAATGATAGTTTAAGGTGAAATTTAAGTGTTATAATATGAATGAGTTTTTTTTATAGATTTTATAAACAAAGGATTAGTGTCGGGTTTAGGATAACATCCCTCAATGGGGACGTGGATTCCCATAAATTTCATATCGGGATGGGGGCGAGGACAAGTGTAATAACCCGATCCTAAATTATTATTAAATTATTAAATTATTCAAGTAAAAGACAATTTACCTCGAGAATATTTTATTGGGCTTAAAGTTGACTTTTGTTTGGGAAATATTTTGGGGAATTGAATGGCACCATGACGTAGATCGCGTCGAGATGAGTCCATAGACACGTAGTGTGCTCAAATCGGAGTTGTAACAAAGAAGTTACGATCAAAGGAAGAATAGTAGCAAAATCGTAAATAATTCAGAGTCTGATTTTTTTACGATTGAGTACAAAAGGTGGTGATTTTGCAATCTCTTTGCCAACAAGAACAACAATTTCAAACAAAGATTTATGGGTGTAGTAGTAAGCGAGGTGGTAGCATTCTTAATGTAAAATGTTGTTTGAATGTGAAGCAACTACCAAGAATACTGTAACTCAACATGCAATTCTTTACAACAAATAATGTGTGCAGTAACAAAATTTAGTAGCACTCGAGAGAACGAGGTAGACTAAAGGCAAACATTCCCACACGAAAAGAAGAACAAATTGAACTCTTAAATTGATTTAGTGTCAAATTGAACGAGTATAATATAATATAATATATATATATAATATATTTAAAGACCAAAGGCAAACATTCCCACAAAAACAGAAGAACAAATTGAACTTTCAAATTGATTTACTGTAAAATTTCTTTCTTTTCAATATCTGCTTTGGAGATATAATATACTAAAACAATATAGCCGCGCGGCTATACTGGGGGGGGGGTTTTTTTTTTATTTAAAAATAAAATGTATGGCCGAGCGGCTATACGTTTTGACACGTGACGAAATGGGAGCAGGTGCTAGGCGGTTTTTTATTTTATTTTTATAAATAGTATAGCCCATGCGGCTATACTTGGATTTTTTAATAATAAAAATAGTATAACCGAGCGGCTCTACTGCATTTTTTATTACTAAAAAGGTGTATAGCCGTTCGGCTATACTATTTTTGACACGATGGGACATGGGAGCTAGGCGCCTGGCGCCAGGCGGTCCTCTTATTTTAATTTTTTTTATAAATGGTATCGCCGCTCGGCTATATGTATATTTTTTTAATAATAAAAATAGTATAGCCGAACGGCTCAACTACATTTTGTTTTATTATGGGTATAGCCGTTCGGCTATACTATTTTTTGTCCTCTCACTTTAATTTTGTTATAAATAGTATAGCCGCTATACTCGGATTGTTTAAATAATGAAGAGGCTACTCTACGTTTTTATTTTAAATAGTATAGCAACCCGGCATAACGGGGTTTTTTAAAAATAAATAGTATAGCCGACTGGCTATACTGTTTTTAAGGGTTCCAGTTTAATAATCCAAAATTATCACTCGACCCGGCAACACACAGAATTTACTGGTACCCTCAAATAGCGGTAAATGTTCTAAGCTCCAAATTAAAAACAGGTCAGCAGATTACTTTTACAACTTTTTGTTTGCATTTGGAGATAACTTGGGCTCTGTTTGGTAATGTTTTTGGCTTATGCTATCTTAGTTAAAGACAGAGAAAGAAAAGGAAAGTTTAGAAGAGTTATGCTAGTGAGGGAGATATGAGAAAATATGTAAAATGGTTTATGAAGTAAAGACAAATTTACAAATTTACATAATTGTTTATTTTAAGAAGTTTAACAGAACACTATTGTCTGTTGAATATACCGCATGGAATTGTCATCAAAACATATGCCCTCTCTCTCTCTCTCTCTCTCTCTCATCTTTGAAATCAGTAGCACATCAAAGCACAATCCCATGTTTAAATATTCACTCAAACTTATCTTTGTATACACGAGGAATTATGATTAATAATTGTTGTGTGTACATTTATATGATTCATTTAAGTTAATTACATTCATCTAATATGTATGTGAATTATCGCTTACTATGAATTTCTAGTGCAACAGAAGAAATAAATGCACAGAACACACATTCATCCATTTGAAGTGCATTTTTGTCCTAATTTTTCTAACATCCCTGTTATTCAATTCATATCAGATTTCCCAGTAAACCAACAATTTAATGAATTTCTTGCTCCTTCACAACTCTCAAATGTTAACAGTATACAAGTAATATGTATGCTAACCAATGACACACCTACAAAACAAGGACTTGGAAAGCAGCCTACCTCTCAAAAGTGCGAAACCAATTATGCTGGCCTAAAAATTTGCATAAAGCCAAGACTTAATTCGGCTTTCCAATAAATTCTCGAAACAGATTTTCTAGTTCGAACTCCTTCAACTAGTAGCAAGCTCACATTTTGGTTAAAAGAAAGAAAGTATTTTCCCAGAACAACTCTGATTAAATATAATATACTAAAAAAAAATACAATATAGCCACCCGGCTATACTATTTTTGACACGTGCAAATGGCGCTACGCGCCAGGTGGTCCTTTTTTTAATATATATATTTTTCTAAATAGTATAGCCAATCGGCTATACTTAGATTTTTCAATAATAAAATAGTATAGCCGTTCGGCTATAGAGTTTTGACACGTGTCGAAATGGGCTTTAGGGGCAGGCGGGCTCTTTTTAACAAATAGTATAGCCGCCTGGATATACCCTCATTTTTTAATAATAAAAATAGTATAGCCGTGCGGCTATAGTATAGCCGGCCGGCTATACTATGTTTGACACACAGCCATATGTGCGCTCGGCGTCAGGCTGTCTTTTTTTATTTTTTTATAAATAGTATAGCCGACAGGCCATACTGTATTTTTTTAATAATAAAAATAGTATAGCCGGTCGGCAATACTACTTTTTTTAATTATAAAAAAGTATAGCCGCTCGGCGTTACGGGGTCCTCTTTTTTATAAATAGCCGACCGGCTGGACTCTTTATATAAGACAATTATATACACAATTTTGGCATATTATTGAATAAAAATAATATGTATTAAAAAAATTAAATAAATCATATTAAGAAAGATAAAAACCAGACCCTCTCACCTCCCCTCCCTGCTCCTGACAGTCATCACTCTCAATCTCAGATACCCGACCCACACCAAACCTAGTGGTGTAACTCAAATTCTCCCTAAAAAAATAGTTTGGGTTTGAACAAATAAACTTTTACCAGCACAGTGCCATCCCCTCCCTCGTCTTCTTCGTGCACTCTCTTTAATTATACTGAAGGGTACTGAAATAGTTTTTGTTTTTCCATTCCCTTTCCTACTACTTATGCAATGCTTCTTCGGTTGATCGATTTTCTTCTTCTTCCTTCTTTTCTCCAGTTATTCACCGATAAATTTTGAAACCAATTGCCTTGTCCCTTACACTTCTCCTTCGGTTATTCGTCCTCCATATTTCATTATTCTTCTTTGACAACTGACGCTTGAGTAGTTATTGATATCAGCATTTGGTCAATTAAAGAGGTAAGTGTAATTTAGTTTTCGTTCTCCTTCTTTGTTAACCTTATTGGGTGATAATTGGTTTGTTTCTTTTAGGGATTGCCCTTTTGGTATCGTATTTTTTTAATCCTTAATTAATTAGGTTCGGAGTTTGTCAATCTATACTATGTTGGTAATATTTAATAAGAAAGTAGATGGATAATTGTTGGATATTCGTACAGAAGGGATATTACAACTTGTTTCGTTGAACATTTAAATTCTTTTAATAAGTAAATCACATGAAATGGATGTTTGAACTTTGAACACTGCGATCCTGTAAAATATTGGGTTTGTAATGCAGGCCTACAATTACAGTGGCATATGGAAGCCGAGTTCAGACGAGTTGGAGATCAAGGTGAGTTTTGATATTGGTTTTTGCTATGCACGCAGTTCAGTTTTATCGAATGTAGTGAGATAAGAAGTTTAAGGCTTTGAATGCTCTTGTTGTTGTCGTAGAATCTTGAAGGCTCTAGTTATTTCCAAGGCATATTAATCATATGGTTGAGAGGGTATTGATTTCTTTTCCAGTGCAATCTTAGCCATTAAACTGCTTTAATCTAAGGGTTGAAAATGTGTGTATAAATTTGTGGCCTTTTGTGTGTCCCCCCAATCCTGACCCTATATATATATTCATAGATTTTCCTTTTGTTTTGTTTTTTCATTTTAATTTTTTTTTGTTATACAACTTTTCAGATTGCAAACTCGTGGATGATAAATACAATGTTGAAGCCACCGAAAGTCTAGCCAATGAGGCACTAGTATGACACTGCAACTCTGCCCTATTTCAGTCTTTCTTTTTTGGGATAATTTATTTGGAGGTACACCTAATTTTTATTCATATATCTTTCCATTTAGCATTTGCCTATTTCAGAGGCAGCACCAATATATGAGCAACTTTTGACGGTGTTTCCCACTGCAGTGAGTTACTTCTAACTGCTATATATACAAATAATATATTCTTTATCTTGTGGCTTTACGTTCTTTAGATCATTCTTTAGTTCATTGCAATTCTATTTAAACTCGGATCTTGGACAACCCACAAGGAATGTTTAGGCACCTAATGTTAAGTACTTTTAACAGTAAAACTACCATGCTTTAAGGTATTGGATGAATATCCAAACGGTTAGTTCAAAATATATCATTTACTTACATGCTCTAAACCTTTATAAATTTAACTGTTTAGACTTTCATCCAAAGACTTTAAAATATGGTATGCATCTTATTAAAATACCCAATGTTATCTGTCTGAACACTCCTATATGTGTAGCCATATGTAATATACTTTTTATATTTTGGCTTTGTTGTATTAGATCACTCTATTGTTCAGTGGAGTTCTATTTAAATTTTGCTTTTCTGTTTTTGTTTTTATTTTTGTTTTGAAGAATAGATTGCATGCCCAATTTTTAGACTGATGACTTAGACACTGGAGTATCAAGTATAAGGGCTGGTTATCTTTTTTTTTCTGCTTAACAGAGAGTTGTTTTGATACACAAGGTGCTTAGCTATTACCAGAATTTTGGTGTTAATTCTTGGGACTAACCTGGAATTGAAGCAGGTTTCAATTAGGTTGAAGTTTTTATCTTATGGAAAATTTGTCAATTTGCAATTTTCTGGCTCATTTGCGAAGAGAATAGAAGAGCTTGTTTTCTGATCATTGGTGTTTTCTGTAGAGTTGAAAACTATTTCGTTGGTATTTTCTGATCATTAGTCATCCCATAGTAGGGTGGGCACTCTTTGCTCTTTCTTATGACATGGTCATGTTATTATTTTGACTGTTTCTGTTACAAACTGAATTATACCTAAGGGTGCAGAGAATATTTGTTTGTTGAGTATGTTACAGACATTTTTTAGTCTATATTTAATGTTTTCTTATTCCTGGCCAGCTTTCCATTTTTCATTTCAAGGAATGAATTAATTGCAAAGTTGGGGTATGAGGATATTATGATCTCTGTGATTTTTGGAGTTTCAATTATGAACTTTTGTACTCCTGGAATTAGCATCTTATATTATTTTTGTTGAAGTTTTTAAGTTCCATATCCGCTATCTTCCTACATCCTGGAATTAGCATGATATATTTTTGTTGTTGAAGAGTGAGTACAAAAGTTTCTGTGGCCCTATTAGGTAGAGTGGCTGTGACTTGTGGGAAGGGCCATCATTTGTACTGTTAAGATTTTAAAAAAATTTATTTTCAAAGGATAGTTGTGAAGTGTGGAAAGAATGGAACTATGATTTTTTTGGGGCACTGGCCCTGGGTTATTGAAGAAGAATGTCTTGTATCTGAACTCCTAGTTGCTTAAAGTACTTCTCTTTGAAGTAAACACTTGTTTGGAGAGCTTTTCTCTAAGGCCATGTTTGGTGACTGGGATTGGATTGGATTATGAGGTAGGATTGGATTGCATTGGATTACATTGGATTGGAAATGATAACACTAATCCAATGATGTGTTTGGTGTTACACATGATTAAGGGGTTGGATTAATTGAAATGTGCTATTACATGGCTTAGTAGGATTAGACATAATCCCAACATTTGAGTAGGATTCATAATCCTACTGCATTTGGCCCTAGTAGGATTAGACATAATCCAATCCATGTTCTTTTTAAGCCACCAAACATTTGATTAGGGTTATGAATCCTATCCAGCTACATAATCCAACTCACCAAACATGGCCTAAGTACCTTAATCAGGGTTTTGTGACAGATCATATGCTTATTAAATAGGGAGTTTCACTAAAACACCCAAAATAGGGGTTGAAATTATAAAAAAACCCAAGCACTATTTAAACATATAAACACACCCAAAACCCATCATTACACACACTCAAAACCCATTTATAAACACACCCAAAAAGTTGACTTTGGGGTTGATTTTGGGTGTGTTTCTATGTTTAAATAGTGCTTGGGTTTTTTTATAAATACATGTCTAGGATTGGGTTTATTTATAAATTTGTATATTAAATATCAATTAACATAAATGATACTGAAAATAATATATGATGGAGATGACTTAAAAATATAAAGATAACAAAAATATGGGTGGTTGTATGAGTCCTAGATGGAATTCAGGCTTAGACCCTTGCTATTCAGGTTGGGAAGGGCTCGGTCTGACTACAAGCCATTGAGGATAGGTTTTATAATCTACTTGTCACAAAATCTCCCAAAAAATGAGGGAAAAAAAAGTCTTGTAATCCTTATAAATCTGTGAAGGAAGTATGTCGAACTCTGCAAGACTTAATATAGAAGTCTACAAAAACTACATCCCCTTAAACTGTTTTATTTAAACTCATGTTAAGTATTTATAGGAGTACTGGACACAGAGCACATAAATGCTAATTTTTTTGTTTTTTCTTTTTTTTGGAGTAGTCTAAAATCTGTTTAGTTATCTCATTATCTTTCCCATGTTTGGAAAATAGTGTTTTGTATTTAGCTGATTATTGCTGTTTCCCTTCTCTCCAGGCAAAATATTGGAAGCAGTATGTGGAGGCGCAGATGGTTGTAAATAATGATGAGGCCACGAAACAGATATTTAGCCGGTGTTTGTTGAATTGTTTGCAAATTCCTCTTTGGTATATTATATTCTACAGCCTAAATACTGTCTGCAAAATCTTGCTTGCTTTAAGTTGAAGTTTACCGAATTTGATTGATAAGAGATTTTTTCTTGTATTTTTTTTGGTGATTCCATGTTATGATGTCGTATGCTTTTATATTTGAATGAGTAGGAATTGAGGTGAACTTCTTTTGTTGTCGATCGAGTCAAATGTGACAAGTAATTACAATGATTTGTGTCTTGAACCCACCTGATCATCTTCTGCATGCCTTTACCACCTAGTGAAAACCACTTAATCAAATAAATTTGTATATGCATAATGTGCAGTGTGTTTATCAACTTATAAGTCCTGAATAAATTTGTTGATTATGCAGCTTCTAATATCCTCGTGATGCAGGATGGTTTAGGAAACGTATCGTATATAGGGTTATGTAGTTGGCTTTAGGAGGTGGCTTTATTTATTTTATTATATGGGAAAGGTGTCTTGGCCTTCTTTGGGCCTTATCGTTGCCCTTTAGATTTTTCTTTAGTGTGGTTCATCTTGACCAGGTGGGAGCTTTGTGTTGATTAGACTTAATGCTTTTTAACAGATAATGTCAGCAAATTACTTACAAATGGAGTTTTAATTGATAAAAAAGATAAATACAAAACTACAAAGATGAAAACCAAACCACCCCTCCTCCTTCACACCCCTCCGCCACCCCAATAGCCATCACCTTCCCCTAACCAGGAGCACTGTTGTGGTGACTCCTCATTCTTGGGACGTGAAGGAAAATAGTGAAAGATTGGAGCAAAGTGGAAGCAAACCATAATGTTGTGGCTGCTTGGGAGGTGGATTGATTTATTTTATTTTTATGGTAAAGGTGTCTCGACCCTCTTTGGGACTTACCATAGCCCTTTTGATTTCTCTTTAGTGTAATTAATCTTGACCAGGTGGGAGCTTTGTGTTGATTGAACTTAATGCTTGGCAACAGATAATTTCAGCTTATTCGCGTTCTTTTGAGGGCTGGAAGTTGGGGGTAAAATGTGCGGTATTTTGCTTTAAGTTGGGAAGAAAAGGGGCAGATGAATTTTCTTTTTTTGAAAAGGGGCAATGAAGAGCTGAGAAATTTGGGGTATTCTTCTGCTTTGAACATTAGTGCATGAGCAGTCTGCAGAGAAGATAAATAGAACTTTATTTGCTTGAGTACAGACGAGTTTCATATAAATTTAGAATGTGTTGTATAAAATATAGTATATCAGTTACGTTGCATGTAAATAGTATAATAGATGACAAGCTTCAATTAAAAGAACAAAATAAAACCCTCTATAGAAAAAAACTTAGATCTTAATCATATATAGCATTGTTTTTAGAAAATTATATATTCAGAAGAAACAGAAGATACCATGTTTTCTTGTTTTCCACTAAAATTTCATTTCTTCATACAATTACTCTACTTTCCTCACAAATAAATCTTCTGTATTTGTAAATGTCTTTCTCCTATTAATGATTTGTAATGCTTCATTGTCTTGATTGTATTGGCTTTGTAGGCGATGCTACATTCGTTTCATCAGAAAGGTGAATGACAAGAAGGGTGTAGAGGGTCAGGAAGAGACTAGAAAAGCTTTTGATTTTATGCTTAGTTATGTTGGTATGTCTTTTGACTTAAGCCTTTTAGGATGCGTGTTAATGTTTACTCTGCTGTCTTAATTTTCTTTTAGTTGAAAATTTAAACACTTCCTAGTTTTGCTAGGTTCTCTCATTTGTGGGTAAAGAAAAATAAGTACTGAAGTGTTTCAGCTTGATAGCGTTTGATTGCTGTTAGAAGAAGTTTTCAGTTTTTTTGGATCTGCAATATGATTTTAAATAAAATGACTTGAAGTTAGTAATGTTTAAAGGATAGAGTTAAACTGAAAGTGGGATCTATGTCTAGGGGTCCTTTGCCATTTGAATGGCAGGCAAAAATCCATTTAGGGCTTAGGGGTAATGGTTTAGGCTCTGTAAGCTCTGAAGATACTCTACACCCTGAAGAAATAAACAATGTTGGAATCGGGGATAAAAATGTATTAAAAAATGAAGTGCTGTTTGAATAGTGTGGTTTCAGCGAAGTGGGATCTTGTCTATGAAGCTCTTTATATATGTGTGAACTACTCAAGCTGATTTTTTGAGTTTTTCTTTTACCAATTTTTTAAGTTTTCTTTTTCTTTTTTCACTTTAGAATGTAAGATTTTATTCATTTATTTTGACATGTAAATGATATGTTTATGAAATATTTGTTTTTAACCAAGGGATGTAACTATTAACTATGCATTTACTGCTTATACTTACATTATATAGCATTTTGGTTCATCTAGTGAATTGAAACATGCTCCTAATTCAGTGCGGTTTAAAGCTGTTTTATTCCTTTGCATGTGCTACCAGGAGCAGATATAGCATCTGGGCCTGTGTGGATGGAGTACATCACTTTTTTAAAGTCTTTGCCGGTTTGTTATTTTCTTCCTCTATGTTCACTTTTATTAGGCTCTTTTGGGGTGAAAGGGGATATATATATACCGAAAAAAAGATATACTTCTGACAATAGACCAATGTTTGATTCTTATCAAACACTGTTGGACCAAGATTTCCTAAGTTGAAATCTGTGAAAAGCATTAACTCAGGAAGTTACTCAGAGTTTGAGAGAATACTGAAGTATTGATGGGAACTGATAGGGAACAATCAGTACTCATATCTGGAACAATCACAGGTTTGATGGAGTGGCTCTTGTACCACTTGATGTAAATAGAAGAAAGACATAGTCTATTATTTGCTGCAGTGGACCATGGACTTTACACCAAAAATTGTTGGATCAAGATTTTTAGAGTTGCAATCTGGGGAAGGCCTTTATTCAGGAAAACATCAAGTGTTTTACTTATGTAAACTAATTATCTTTATAATATCAACTTACTCTACTTAAGGCTTCTAGGATTTGTTTAATAACCCATACTATATTTACTACTGTAAAACAGAAACAAGATCTACCTTTTGAATCTGACTGACTCTTCTTTTAGATAAAAAAAAAAGCCTCCCCATGCTTTTTTTCTTCACGGATACCCATTTTTGAGTCTCTAATGCAGACAATCTTAGCGGGTTATGTTGAGCATGATCATGTATGTGTCAAAACCTTATGAGCCCGATTGACCAGCTTGTGTTTTTGTTGAACTCACCTAACTAACAAATGACTCAAATTACACATCTAATAGTCATGTTATGTTGATGTGTTAACGTGTACTTGAAATGACCTTTTTATTTAAGACATCAGTTGGGTTATAAACACTGTTGAACCTAGTTAATAAACAGTTTTATGTGTCATGTTACCTGTAGGCGTTGATCTGGTTAGTATGTTGTCCTCCACATAACTCCCTTTAAACAGCAGACTACAATCCTGCTGCCTCAGGAAAACTGCAGGTTAAATCTGATATCACATCTGAGTCTTTAAAAGCTCCAAATAGTTAGTTGTTCAATGTGCTGCATCTCATCCTGAAACTAATTAACCAGAATTTCCAGCCTTAGTTTTAGAATAGCACTGCTATTGTTGTCCCTCGTTCTTCTCACCCCATTGACCTACTTTTCTTCTCCCCCTCCCCCCACCCACCCCCCCAAATTAAAATATAAAGGGATTAATCAATCCATAGATTCATATTACAAGAATGCTCTAAACTCCAACCCTAGACATTCTTTTTGGACACATTTTTTTGATACCAACGAAGCCAACTCTCTCAACAAGGGTCAGCAGATGACCTCTACCTGTGCATGGTGGTTCCCATGGCTCATGGCAGCGAGGTTCTAGAATTTTTCAGAATTTTTGTTTTGTTTTAATATATTATCCTTACAGTTATTTTATATAGGGACAAATTTTAAAAAGAAAAAAATTATTAAAGGTGGGTGTGGAGAACAAGATGGAGGTGGCAAGAATGCTGCACTTATTTTTTGTTGTAGCTGCTGTTCATTAATTATTGATGTCAAGGGCACTAATTTTTTAAACGTGATCTTGCAGGCTTTAAGCACACAGGAAGAGTCACAACGCATGATTGCTGTGCGGAAAGTATACCAGAAAGCCATTGTTACTCCTACCCATCACATTGAACAACTTTGGAAGGAATATGAAAATTTTGAAAATTCTGTCAGCCGTCAACTGGTAACTTTTTGGTTTTGGAATGCAAATGTGATATGAACAGTGTATGACTGTCTGTCTGTGTGCTTGGGTTCTATATCTTTGTTAAGAAAGACATTTAAAGGATTGGAAATCTGATGATGTTGCATTAAGCAGGCAAAAGGACTGTTATCTGAATATCAACCCAAATTTAACAGTGCCAGGGCCGTCTACAGGGAGCGGAAGAAGTACGTTGATGGAATTGACTGGAATATGCTTGCTGTACCACCAACTGGCTCTTACAAGGTAATTTTGCTTATTGTGCTGTAATTTGTGATTTGTTGGCTCGCAGATGCTGATGTTTTTTATATCTCAGCTGGTATCTCTTATCCAAACATACAATCAAGGTTGCTGGCCTTGTTTCGGAAACACAATTAACTTGCAACTTAAATGTTCTTTTAGTGTCTGATTTTTCATATTACTGTCGACCCATGGTGGAAAAAGTTGTATGAGGATTTGTCTTGATTTTTTAGGTGTAATGTAACATATGCAGTCTTAGACATTTATTGACTTGCCTTCATACATGGCAACAAGCAGGCGTATTTTTCCTGGTCTTTGCCATTGTTTGCTGTATGAGAACCACATCTTTGTTTTAGCAGATTGGAATTCTCATGTATATTTTGCAATGGCAAATGGTAATTATGTGTTGTGCTCTTACAGGAAGAATTGCAGTGGATGGCATGGAAGAAGTTGTTAGCTTTTGAAAAGTAAGTAGTAGTTCCATACTGTTTTTCACTTTTAGTGGTTATGTATTCATTATCGTCACAGACATGATAGATCATGAATTATTATTAATCTGCAATCTGTTACTAACTTTATTTGCAGATTCCTTTTCACTTAAAGAATGAGATGCTTGTAGGGACCTATGTGAAAAAAATAAGTATGCTTATGTGCAAATTTTACCCTTTTAAGAGATTTGGTACTTCCTGAGAATGCCCTGATATTTCAAATGTGAAAATGATATGATTGACCACATGTGCTCATTGCTTCCATGAATTAGAAAGTTCTAAGATTAGATAACTACGAGAGTAAAGTTCTTGTATATAGAGCAATACAGGTTAATATTTCTACTGGCAGTTGTTGGATGTAGCTCCTCTGAGTTTAAGGTTTTAGACAACCACTAGCCCCAAAAGTTTAAGCCGACATGGAATGGGCCACCTATGCGCATCAAGCTTACACTGCCACTCACTTGCAGACCCATCCTGCATATGGAGAGGCAGACGTAGAAGGCTCTGATACCATGTTTGAAAACCACTAGGCCTAAAATCTTAAGCTGCCAGGGAATAAGCAAATAATGTATATCAAGCTTACAGAAGTCTCTGAAATGAAATGGAACCCTGAACCCTAAACCTCATGTATTTTATGTGATGATTCTGAAGAAAGATTGACATTACAAATAGTTAAAAATAAAAATGAATAACTTGCCCCAAAGTTTGCATGCTCATAGTTATTATTGTTCTTTCAGTTTTGTTGTCACGTTTATTTGTTCTGTAGTTCATTTGAGAATGTTGTGTATTTTAATCTATTTTCTTGTAACTGCATTTCAGAGGAAATCCACAAAGGATAGACAATGGATCATCCAACAAGCGAATTATTTTCACTTATGAGCAGGTAGAGAAAATATGATATAGTTTTTTATCACTTGAATTCATAAAATTAGTAAAGATTTTCTAGATTGTCTCTAAGTTTGTTGGATATTAACCTAAAAATAGCTTATGTGAATCTTATGAATTCCTCAATTTTAAAGAATTTATTGGTACATGTTTGGATATTCCTAGATACTTCGTGTTGCTTATCACGATGATTGGGATTTGTGTACAAGTCGATAATTTGAACACTTATGAATCTTTTCTTTTGGCTTGAACGCATCTCAATTTTGGACATGTAAATTTACTTGTTTATCCATCTTCTTTTCTAATTGTTGTATGTTTTTATCCTCTTTTGGTCACCTCGTGTCTTTGTAATCCTCTATTCTATGATGGGGATGCTATTCTGTCTAACTAGTCTTATCTAATTTAATCATCACCTACACATGCAAGTTGTATAATAATGTGGAGTGGAGTTATTGTACCTAATGCAGTAGAATTAAAATGTAATCTCGTGTACTGTATTTTAGTCCTATTCTAGATCTGATGCTCTGCTTTTTGATTTTTTTAAATTCACTCAACCATCATGAACAAAAACATATATTTGGAGTGCAGTTAATTATATGAGTTCACTTAATTATGCACACAAATAACTGAAAGTATATTTTCATAAAATTGTGTACATTTATTTCATTTTATTTATGCAATTGTTCACTGTTCCTTGTTCAAATTTTATTTCTGACTTCCTAACTGCATTTTGTTGGTTTCCAGTGTCTAATGTATCTATACCATTATCCTGATTTGTGGTATGACTATGCCATGTGGCATGCAAAAAGTGGTTCAATAGATGCCGCAATTAAAGTTTTTCAGAGATCTTTGAAGGCTCTTCCTGGTAATTTGAAGTACTTTTAGGGCCACTTCTTTTGTCTTGCTGCTTTGGCTTGATTGTTATATAAGCATGAGTGTAGTGGTCCTATGAAATTTTTTTGGATGGTTTTCACCCTTTGTCTATTAAATGGCATAAAGTAGCTTAAGAATCTCTCTCTCTCTCTCTCTCTCTCTCTCTCTCTCTCTCTCTCCCCATCAGACTCAGAGATGCTTCGGTATGCTTATGGAGAGCTGGAAGAATCCCGTGGAGCAATTCAGGTATTAGGATTACAAATTTCTTTTCTACATGTTGAAATTTCTGGCTCTGAAGGCTTGGTTGAGTTGAGGTGGAGCTGGATTTACTGCTTTCTTGCAGCCTACAAAGAAAATATATGAAAGCCTTTTGGGAGATGGTGTTAACACGACAGCACTTGCTCATATACAGGTAAGTATTTTCTATTGGATCTTTAAGTGGACATGATCCTCCAATGTATGTAATTTTCTTGACTCGGGTCCTGCGTTTTCTTCTTGGAACCATTCTTCAATCTATGCTAGATAACCCCATTCAGCCTACCTTTGGTCCTAATAAGTTAATTTAGTAATACAGGTGCCTCATGATAAAATCAATACTTATGATATGCTTTAAAAGAGGAGGCCTATGCTTCTTGATCTCCTCAGTGGCATGTGTTGTGTGAAACAATGGGTCAATCATTTGTGTTATCTTCGTAAATTGCTTATTTGTGTCATAGATATGCACCAGGTTGTTCAGTGCTTTCGACTTTCATGAAATTGTTATTCTTTGTTGACTCAGATATTTTTGGGGAGGGTGCTTTGGTAGAGAGATGTTACCCTTTGGCATTGGGTGGTGGTGATGGGAAATGGATGGAACAATTTTTGGAGATATGGAAGAAGAGTTGATTTCTATTTGGGACGCAATTGGATTCTTTTGCTTCCTTGTGGGCATCTTTTCCTAAGCAATTTAGGGATGGTCCCTCTATTGTGATTCATCTCAGACTCGTTTGAAGTTTGTAATAGATGTGCTTTTGCACGTTTTGCTGTGTTTGAGGCGTTATAGTGAGTTCATGTTAGAGTTGGTTAAGTCTTCGTTGTAGCTTATATTGGATGACTCTTCTTGTAAAATAGGAGTTTCTAGTTTCATGAGGTGTCAAACGGGTCATGCCAGGCCCGTCCATTTATGAAAATCATCAATACCGGCCTGAGCCCATGGCCCTAGCCCATATGGGCTTGGGTTGTGCTCGTGCCGGGCCACTAAATGGGCCGTGATGGGCCTATGCCAAATTTGACTTGTGTATTGCATTTTTTTGTTATAATTTTTTTTTACAACTTCATTTAAATCTTTTTTACAATTATGTATATACAAACAAGATTTATTATTTGTTGAAAAGAGGCCAATAACTTTATTTAAAGTACATTTAATTAGAAAATAACTAGATTATTGTTTGGATTTTAAAAATTGAAACTTGAAAAACAAAATCATTATTTTATATATAAAGAAAACATTAAATTTTAATATATATTATTAGAGAAAAGAAATAGACTTGAATTTAAGATATAAATGTAATAATATTATGTATTATTTTTCTCTAAAATAAATAAAATTTAATAAATGGGCTTTAAACTGGCCAGCCCGTTGGAACTTTATAGGCCAACCTAAGTTTAGAAGATACGGTCGAAGTTTTTTGTTTTGTTTTTTCTATATAGGCCTTACTTGCTGCTTAAACTTTTCTCACAAGCTCTTTAATTTGTTAATTCACTTATATAAGTAATCCTGCAGGCGTCTCCACCATAAAATTATTTATGCCGAACATTTGTTTGATTGAAAATAGAGATTTGATTACATGTATTCTGCAGCTTACAACTAACTTTGTCCATTCTTTGGGAAGAATCTCATGTTAGTATTTTTCACCGCAGTTCATTCGTTTCTTAAGGAGAACTGAAGGAGTTGAAGCAGCTCGCAAGTACTTTTTAGATGCTCGCAAATCTCCAAACTGCACGTACCATGTTTATGTTGCTTATGCGATGATGGCTTTCTGTCTTGACAAGGATCCAAAGGTTTTTTTAAGTTAAAATCAATGTTTTCATGATTAGCTGTAATCAGTGCTGAAACTGTAGATAGCATTTATCTGTGTTTGGATTATATAGTCTATAAAATTTTCTCTGTTTTATTTACCCAAAAAAGAAAAAAAAAACTTTGTCACAACTTTATTTCTCCTAGTTGTGTTTTGCTTCAAGGAATAGAATGGAATCTGCATTTGAATGCATTGGAATAAAGTGGGCATTCCTATAGAAGGCCAGTTCCATTGTTTGGTTCACATATTTAGTTTGGGAACAATCTTTCCCATTCATGCCCAAACAATGGAACGCACATTCCCAAATTATAGGTTAGGAATGCTCATCCCCTAACTATAAGTCTCTTTAGCCAAAAGGCTCCAACACCCGAGACTTAGACTTGGGAAGCCAACACCCTAGATATCAGACTCCAAATCCTAGGCCTTGGACTCCAAACCCGGACCCTCAGACTTTGGACCTTACACTCAGAATCCATGATCTAGGTCCCACGTCCAGGATCCGTGGTCTCTATTCCAGGGTCCCTGTCTAGGGTCCCGAGTCCTAGGTACTGGGTGCAGTGTGTACCCTAGAGCTCAGACACTACACTTTGGAGGACCATCCACATCGAACTAAAGATCCAGTAGTTGGGACAATGGACAATAATCTAATATACTGTTAAGGGACGTTTTTTATAATTATTATTTTTTTCTGATACGAAACAAATATTTACTATTATCTTACATCCATGCAGATGGCACACAATGTTTTTGAAGCTGGGTTGAAACGGTTTATGCATGAGCCTGTGTACATTCTTGAGTGAGTTCATGTCCTTTCCATAGATTATGCATACCAAATTGCTATGGTGATGTTTATTTTAGGATTTATGGAAGTGAAATGTTATATGCAGTGTCCAATACACTTAGTAAGTTGATCCTATAGTAGGAATTCTGGAAAGGGTTCCTTTTGGGGAATTGAAGAGCTCTCTTTTTGTTTCAAGTGCAATTCACTGTTGTGGCATTAATCCTATTGGCATGATGGATTCTACCTGTGGCTGCATTTCAGTAATATGTAGCTCAGATTGGACATTTTTTTTAGTAAGAAACAGCATACTTTGGAGAGACCTTATACTCTCCTAGACCGCTAGCCTATCAAGTTTAAAAAATTATTAACCCAAAGGTTTCATTTTTACTTTTTGATTCCTGTAGGTCCCCCACATCTGGATCCTATTCATGCTTGTGGGATGTGGCCCTACTTTTTGTGCGGAGACTCAACTTTGTGATATTTTATCCCAACTAATGCTGCTCACACACCACATAAATATGGGCCCCAGATGTATGTATTACAGTATTATTGTCTGTGAGTTTCGTTGTGTTGTGTGGCACATAGATATGGGTTGTCCAAGTAGTGAATTTGAGGCAGATTTGTTATGTGACTAACAGTGGCAATTTGTATTTCATATTATTAGTCATATTTAGGTAAAAGAAAACAGAAATTGAAGGATATGATATTTATGCTCTTGTTGATGTATTCTTATTGTGTGTTGAAGTATCTGTTATTGCATTCTTATTGATTATCATGTCCTTATTGTTGCAGGTATGCAGATTTTTTAACTCGTTTAAATGATGATAGAAATATTCGAGCGTTATTTGAGAGGGCATTAAGCTCACTACCATCAGAGGAATCTGTTGAGGTAGACACCTATTGTCATGTAAATAATAAATATACACGTGTGTTTGTGTTTGTCCTCTCGCTTGTATTGAGTTTCTATTTCTACCTGTGGTAGGTTATTTCTGAAGTCAGGATTTGTTACAATTAGTTATTCTAGTCATCTACATGACTAATCATTCCAAACTTCTTCTACACTAGGTAGCTTACTTCAATTTAGTTTTACAACTTTGGGTGCTGATCTGTAGTATTTGGCTAGGGAAAAATTGTAGAGATGTTGAAGATAAGTTGTTGGGATGCTTGTTCTGTTAGTCCAAGCAGGATCCTTAATATTATTTTACTATCACTTGTGGATTTCATGTTTTGTTTACTTTCTTTATGTTTTCTATGTACTTTTTGTTTACCAAGAAGACGAAAAAGGACCGAATGGATTGGAGCTTCAGAGCTTTTCTTTCTTTGGAAAAGTCATACAAAATTAAATTTTACTTATTTGGACTTCGTCACTAGCTTTGAGGCTTAAGCCTATGTACAGTACAAAACTAGGTTGTTTTCTTTGATGAAAATATCGTCCATATATCAGAAAAATAGGAGATGGATATGGAAAGGGGGTGATGACTTTATGGACCCCACGATACCAATATTCCGAAATATGGGCTTAATATTCTTGAAACCATGATATCGGCTTGAAATAAGGCGGCACGAATGTATTTAGGGTTTCAGAGGCAAAAGCCTCTAGGAAGAAGATCACCTCAAATATATATATATATATATATTTTTCCCTAAGAAAGTTTTTTGGCATATACGGCACCGTTTGATATCTGGTTTTTTGGCCTTTCAAATGAAACAGTTCATTGATCACTTGGACTTAAGACTTCTGGGGTTTGTTTATGGTTCTATGCTTTGACATTTTGCTCCTTGTTTTTGTGTATTTACTGAAGCTGACTAGCTGAGGCAGCAGAGTCCAAATAAAACAGCTTTGGGCTACCAAAAGTAAAGTGATTGATGTAGCCCAAACCTAACAGATAAAACTGAACAATCTATCAATACTAAATATTAAACTATAATAATTTATGTCTAAGAAAGCTTAAACCTCAATGTGTACGCCCAGATTTTTAGAAGACATAAAGCGCCTCACCTTTAAAAACATTGAATCTCCAAATTAAGCTAACAGTCCCAAGGTTCTCCTTCTTATATTAGTGAAATTCATTGAGAAATGTATTCCAAGGATGAAAGTTTCAAATTTTTTTTTTCACGTTTTAAGCTTATTTCCATAATTTCTGTTATGGTCACCGATATCGATATTTCTGTAAATTTGAGTCTGATGTTTATGTCGAAATCAAATATTTATTGTTTTCCTGCCTGGTTTTTATTTAAGATAGGTTATGCTGCATTCTTTGCTTCATTATTAATGTATTCAACATATCAGTGATAGGTTTTCTCAGTTCTTTTAATATTGAATGCAAGATTCTGATGGATCTTCCCTGTTAGGTATGGAAGCGATTCACCAGTTTTGAGCAAACTTATGGAGATTTAGCTAGCATGTTGAAGGTAGTAAATATGATCTTTCCTTTTGGTTTGCGATGTATTTTTCCATTTCAATCTTATGGTCCTTTTTTTTTCCTTGGTGACTGACTATTGTTTGCCCTTGGTCAAAGTTTTGTTATGTGAATGGGCTCCTCTATAATGGTGAAAACTGTGAGTCTCTCTACTTAGCAAGAATTGGCAAACTGGTTTATGTATTTGGTAGAACAAGTTCCTCCAACCCTTGTGAGGTAGTACAGCCCATAGGTATTAGATTAAGCACTCAAACAATAGAACATAGAAGAATATAAGAGATCGAGGAGACGAAAATATAGATCGAAAAGACGAAAGAAAGGGCAGAACAGTAGAACAAGAAGAATATCGGAGGTCGAGGAGACGAAAATATAGATCGAAGGGACGAAAGAAAGGACCGAAATCAGAGAACCGAGAAGGAAGGACAGAAATCACATAGTTTTAAGAGAAGGTTTACTCCAGATCCAAATCTCCATTTTAAAGAACTACATGGGGGTATTTATAGCAAACTAACTTAAACAGAAATCCTAACCCAAATAAAATAGGAAACTTAAAACTAGAAATCTGGAAATCTGGAAAAGCAGAAATCCTACTAGAATTTGGAAAACTAGAGAATCTAGGAAACTAACAAATACATTAGGAAACTAATAAATTTAGGCCCTATGTGTCCTGAATCACCTTGGCTTCTGATTTGTTCTATGATTTATTTGACAGTTCCATTATATATAAAAAATAATAATTGCCTGGACACTAAGAACAGAATTTGTGTTGCCTTCATCGATACAGTTGTACCTGACTGACATTCTCTTTGATTTTTAGAAAGGAAAATAGTGTACAGTTACAGACGTTTTATGTATTTTTGTCAATTAAGCTATATAGCTCCAGGATTAAACATTACATGGGATACTAAGCCCTAAATCCTAAACTTTTTTTTTTTTTTCAATTACTTGTCTGTATAAATTGAATTTGTTATAAAAAGGTATTGTTAGATTATTGTTGCTAATTTTGATCCGTCTTCCAACCAAAGCAATAAGCTATTGCATCTGTGATTCATATAGGTTGAGCGAAGAAAAAAAGAAGCACTTTCTGGAACAGGTGAAGAGGGCCCTTCATCATTGGAAAGTTCATTGCAAGATGTTGCATCACGATACAGTTTCATGGATCTTTGGCCCTGCTCTTCAAAGGAATTGGATCATTTAGCCCGACAAGAGGTACCTCTAATGAAAATATTATGTTAATGTGTCCATTGAAACTATTAACAGCTTTCTTCATCAGTATTTTCCTTTTTCCTAGCACACACATACACACACAGCCTCGTACCTACCCTAATCCAAAAAGTTGAGATTAAGAGCAAGCATTATTACATTGAGTTCATGCTGTCATAAACTATTAAGCATTCTGGTAGAGGGTTTGATTTTGTATTCCTGTTGACATGACAAAATCCGTAAGTGGACCTACTCTTTTTAAGTGAGAGGCGTAATTCTTCTATAACCTAGTTGTGGGCTTATGGCTGCTGCATCACGTCACTTATAATTTATTTGTTTCTCCATTGATTAGTACCTCACCCTGTTTCTGCTTTTTAGTGGCTTGCTAAAAATATCAATAAGAAAGTGGAAAAGTCAACTATGCTGAATGGACTTGGGTTTGTAGGTACACTATTGTTTGGTTATTACTTAGTAATCTCTGCCCTTTCTATATTTGTAGTTGGTACTGTTTGGCTATTACTTAGTAATCTCTGCCCTTTCTGTATAGATGAGGGTTCTACAGGCCTGACAAGCAATTTAGCAGTGTCTTCAAAAGTAGTTTATCCAGATACTAACCAAATGGTTATCTATGATCCACGGCAAAAACCTGGTAGGCAATTCATTTGTCTGCTTAGTTACTATATAACAGCATTTTACCTGCTTTGTATGTTTAAGCAGTATGCTTTGATATTGCCATCAGGAGTCTATAATTTTTAATTGATATTTAGTGAGCCTGATTAATTTCATGCAATACATAAAATAACAGTAAAGTACACTTCAAAGAAATAGAAAACTGGTTTGGTGAAAGAAAAAAAATTGGTCTTGAGCTTTAAATTTCAGTAACTTGAACGTGTATAATAGAGATAGATCAAAAGTGGGTGAGTCTTCAGCAGTTAAATGGGATGTATTTACGACCTTGTAATTTTTTGTTTCTTATGCTATCTGTTGATTCTGTGAATTAGAAATATTTCTTCAAGAGGTTTATGGTAATTGTTTCCTGATGTGGACTACATCTTTAAATTCCTTGGATATGACTGTCTGTGGTGATATGCTGGAATTGGTTTGGTAATAAACACAAGTCGTCAAACATTTTGAAGAAGAAGATCTATTATCACATTTAAGTTGAAGCTTTTAACTTATTAACTCCACAAAAAATAAAATAAAATAATGCCCCATGGTGCTTCGCAGTTACGGTGGTTCTTTGAACAGTTCGGATAGAGAGACAAATAACAAATTTTGGATAAGAGGAACAAAGCGGATATGTTATTGGAGGGGATAGAATTTTGCTGTCTTTATGGGCATCAATGTCAAAGAATTTTAGGGATTTTTCTCATAGTTTAATTCAACTTGATGAGATGGGGTATGATCAAATAAGTCTGTTTATTTCAAATATACTGTGAATAGTTTTAATAGTTTAAATGATTCATTTTCTTTAACCTCTTCAAAACAATGAAGTTTCAAGAATGTCTAATTCTATATTGTAATATATCATAGATGTGATTGTACCATGATCAAATAAGTCTGTTTATTTCAAATATACTGTGAATAGTTTTAATAGTTTAAATGATTCATTTTCTTTAACCTCTTCAAAACAATGAAGTTTCAAGAATGTCTAATTCTATATTGTAATATATCATAGATGTGATTGTACCATGATCAAATAAGTCTGTTTATTTCAAATATACTGTGAATAGTTTTAATAGTTTAAATGATTCATTTTCTTTAACCTCTTCAAAACAATGAAGTTTCAAGAATGTCTAATTCTATATTGTAATATATCATAGATGTGATTGTACCATGATCAAATAAGTCTGTTTATTTCAAATATACTGTGAATAGTTTTAATAGTTTAAATGATTCATTTTCTTTAACCTCTTCAAAACAATGAAGTTTCAAGAATGTCTAATTCTATATTGTAATATATCATAGATGTGATTGTACCATGATCAAATAAGTCTGTTTATTTCAAATATACTGTGAATAGTTTTAATAGTTTAAATGATTCATTTTCTTTAACCTCTTCAAAACAATGAAGTTTCAAGAATGTCTAATTCTATATTGTAATATATCATAGATGTGATTGTACCATGCTTTTTTGGATTTATATAGCTTAAGTTCAGTGATTGAACTTTATCTGTTAGTCTTTTCTTTTCATAATTTTCTTTTACTGTAGGTGCTGGGAATTTTCAGACCACAACAGCAGCTGGAGTTCCCACTGCTTCTAAATCCTTGTCAAATCCTGTGATTGCAGCAGTAGGTGGTCAAACAATGAGTGCGTTTGATGAAATATTAGAAGCAACACCGCCTGCTTTGGTAGCCTTCTTATCAAATTTGCCAGTTGTTGAGGGTAAATTTTGAAGTTTTCTTTCAGTTAAACGGAATGTGTTTTCCCCCTTCCGGTTTACAAACTTTGTAGTCTGTATATTTAAAGCCATTCTGACTTGAATTGTATGTCAGAATAGACCGGTAAAAATTTGGACTGAAATGTCATTCTTGTGGGGGTTTATAAATATTCATGCGTAGTGTGTTGCTACTTTCATAAAAATATGGGAAGACAATTGACAAACGTATGATTTGACCTGTGACAAATGTTCAGAAGATGCTTGATCCGGTGGGTATCTATTTATATAAAATTTGAGAATATTAGGATCCCATAGATTAATGAGAATATTAGGATCCCATAGATTAAGGAATTGGTCTTGCTGAGGACTTCAAAATCGGAGGTGTCCTGATTTTAATTTTTTTCTTTTTAAAAAATTATGATCCGGATTGACTTTGTAATTTTTTTCTTCCATCTGTCAATTGCATGGTGAGTTTATTTGGTCTTATCATATTAAATCTGATGGTGTTTGTGATTGGTAATGAAGGTTTACCCTTATTTCATGACCCCTGATCCTTTATGCCGCTGTTGAATGGAAATTTTGTTTTTTTGAAATTTTCAGGTCCAATACCAGATGTTGATGTTGTGTTGTCAATTTGTTTGCAAAGTGATGTACCAGCACCACAGCCTGGGAAGTCAGGGGCTGCCCCAATGCCATTGCCATCTATACCTGCTCCTTCCACTAGTGACCTTTCTGTTTCAAGCAAGTCTCATCCAATCCCAAGTGCGTCATCTTTCAAGCCAGCCAAGGGGAAAAGGAAACATTTTGATAGTAAGTGGTTTCTTTCTTTGTGGTGATATATATGTTGGTATGGTGATATATATGTTGGTATACTAGTTTAGAAAGATATTGTAGGAGTCCAAGTCACGTGCCTCTTGAAATTGAATTTTCCATCCATTAAGAGCATCTCCAAGGGAGATGTCAAATACTAAACATCAAATTTAAATTTGATGGCTGATGTGGCAATTTGACATTTACACAGTTTTACATTCCACCCGATATGTCAAATAAATAATTATTGTAACAATCAAATCATTTAAGATAAAGAAGAAAAAAAATATAAAAAGGAAAATAATAAATGAAAGTAACAACCATCTTTAAAAATAATAAAATATTCATTTGACATCTTGCTTTTGGGATGTCAAAAATAACATCTCAACCTCCAGCCTTCATTCCACATCAGCTTTAACACATCGGTTGGAGTAATGTGAGATGTTATTTCTAGCCGTTAAATGTCTATGTGGCACTTTTAACACATCGGTTGGAGATGCTCTAAGAGAGATGTCAAAGAAGGAAAATACTAACCGAAGTTCTTCTGAGATTGACATGATTAAATTTATGTTCAAAATGGACTAGGCGCAGTGTAACTAGGGACACTCATGTTCATTCTTTATTTTTTTATAGCCAAAGTTAGGAAGGGGGAGGGAGGTTTTCTCACACGCACTGCCAAGATTCCATGGGGCTTAGAACTTGCGAGTCAAGGCTATTTTCCACTAGGCTAGACCCTGTTGGCCTCATATTTGTGCTTTTTACAATCTAATTTTTGTTGGTAATGTTGGCCATTGATGGCTATATTGCAGATCGTCATTTTATCAAACTGCCATGCTAGTCAGTTTCTGATGGACGTGGCAGTGCCCTGGTTTCATGGATTTGACATTACTAAATCGTAGTAGCTGGGGCTGTGTATGCACTTGGCATTGGTTTTGTGAATTTGTTAGGAAGGTCATAGTCTTTGCATGAGCGACACAGACCCCTAATTGAAATCATTATTTTATGAGTACCGCTTTTATGAGTTGTGCTGAGCACAAATCAAGCTGTCTTAATGCGTCTGCGCATGCGTGCGTTCCTAAATGTTATATGGAGAGTATTGACAAGTTCTCAGTAACAAAATATCTTATGAATGGTAGGGCAAGAGGAGGAGGAAGCTTCGGTCCAGAGCCACCCACTCCCAAGAGATGCCTTCAGGATACGGCAGATCCAGAAGGCTCGCGGTACTGCATCTCAAACTGGATCAGCTTCATATGGAAGTGCAATTTCTGGAGATCTATCTGGCAGCACTGGCTAATTTACATCTTTTTTTCCTTCTTTCAGATTCCTTGTTTTCCCCCTTTTTAGATTATGTACAAGATCACATACATTTTTAGTAAACTTCAATTGTATTACTTTTTATTTTTATATTAATTTCTTTTTTTTTTTTCCTTTTGTTGGAAGATAAGTGTTGAGTGGCCAAAAATAAAAACCCAACAGTGGACTGGATGTTTACTTTTTCAATAAAATCAATGTTGGAAAAATCGTTAGGCGGTAAGCGGGCGGTAGGTAGGCCTTGCATATAAAGGAGTAATTGGGGTGTAGGCTTTTTTAAAAAGGGAAATTCTATATGAACCCCATAAATTATTCTTTACACCCTATAATTTTTTACACCCCACTAAATTTTAATAAAATTTCAAATTACTCATTAAACCCTTTTTTTTCCCCTAAATTGCCCGTATAAACCCCATCCCCTAACCACCCACCGAAAATCCCCTTCCCTTTCAGCTACACCCCATCTGAAATCAAACCCCACCCTATCTGATATCCAGCCACACCCCACCGAAAATTCTCTCCTCTTGCAGACACACCCCATCGCACACCCCATCCCATTTACACCAACCTCCATCGCAGAACCATCGCAGAACATCGAAGAACTCATCCCTTTGCCATCACAGATCTTTGCTCACCATCGAAGAAGCCCTTTGCCATTGCCTCCAGCAAATCTAAACCATCTCTGAAACAGAACCATCACACCCATCTCCATCTCTGCAAACTCGAAAGCCATTGAAGGTCAAGTTCTCACAAATCCTTATTCAAGGTTTGATTTCAAATTTGATTTATATATTTACATTTCTAAGTGTTGATTAAGCCTACATTTGATTTCACTTTTGAAAAGCCAAAGTCTGATATTGATTTCGATTTCGATTTCAAGGTTCTGGGTAGTTCGAACCTAGTTTTACGAAAATGGATTCCACCGAAATGATTACATTGCTTCAGTGGTAGTCCACCGAATTGAACCTGTACTTTCGGTGGGTTACCACCGAAATTGTTACCTTGTTTCGGTGGTAGTCCACCTAGTTTGTTTCTATTTTTCAAGGGACTCCCACCGAATTTCTTTCGATTTTTCAGTGGTACTCCACCGAATATGTATTCTTTCTTCAGTGATTGTCCACGGAATTTATTTCCGTTTTTCAGTGATTATGTACTGAATATTGTTTATTTTTAGATATGAAGAGGATTCGCAGGGGTACTACTGAAGCTTCATCATCCCGACCTAATAGACAGCGTCCCACGACCTTAGCGAGGAGACAGAGAGCGGCTCCCCAAGATCACATTGAGGATACTACAGAGAGTTTTAAAACTCACATAGCAGCTGCAATTTGGAATAACCAGGTAAGTCGTTTTACTGTGATAATAGAAGGTAGAATATAAGTTTGGTTCATGGTAATTAACCTTAATTTTGTTTTTTTGTTTAACTAGGAACGTGAGCCCCTTAGGTGCATGTCGAAAACATCTACCCTTCGTGAGTGGAATTGGTGGGGTAATCCAAATAATGGTATATTCAAAGGGTACATTCAGAGGTCTGGATTAGAGCACCTTATTAGGTGTTCTTATCGGAATGCTGATAAGATTGTGGTATCTACATTTGTTGAGAGGTGGCATCCCGAAACGAACACATTTCACATGCCTTTTGGTGAGATGACCATCATATTGGATGATGTGTCATCTATTTTAGGCATTCTTGTGTCTGGTGCAGCGGTTGCTCCTCTTGGAGATGACAACGACACAAATTTTGAGTTGTTAGTTAAGTACTTAGGAGTGACTGATGAAGAGGCTACTGAACAATTGCACAAATACAGTGATGAGTATGTGAGTTTGTCATGGTTACGAGCGCGATTCTCCAATGTTTCAGACACAGATTCAGAGGAGTACATCATGTATTCGGCCAGAGCATATTTGCTATATCTCTTGGGTTGCACTTTGTTTATTGACAAGACTGGCACAAGAGTCCAAATTGTGTACCTTAGACTACTTAGAAACCTTGATAGTGTTGTTGGTTATTCATGGGGTTCTGGGTGCTTAGCATGGTTGTATAGACAATTAGGCCAAGCTTCGAGGTCTAAGGTGAAGCAGATTGCTGGGTACATGACTTTGCTGGAGGCATGGGTGTATGAGCACATGCATGGTGTTGTTGTCCCTGATCATGACCTTGATTATTTAGAGGTCCAGCCTCGTGCACTTCGTTGGATTCCAAGTCGAGACAATGGCACAACATCGGTAGACGTGCAGAAGTATAGACAGCGGCTTGACGCTTTGAATGCTGATAAGGTGTGTTTCTCTTACATATCATCCAATTGTTGCATTCATATACATATATGCAACAGAGAATGTCATATTAGTATATGTCACCCCCACAATTTGCAATAGTGGGAAACGATACTTATTAGTCTTATAGGTGCAATTCATGATAAGTACATGTGGAAATGCGCGCAAAATATCAATATTAATAGGGTGTGTCCAAAACAGGTCAGTTACAATATCACTAGATGTCCTATGCCACTCAATATAATTGTGTTCGGATAACTTAGTAAGCAATTGTTGCATTTGGGTTCTCCCAGCAAATTCTTTGGTTTTATTTCGGATCCTAGCATTGTATATTGTCTTCATAGTTGAAACATTCATTGCATCTCTATCTTTAATGGTGACCAAAATATCTCTGCGTTTCACCAAACTCTTAGACAT